GCTTTTTTTAATCTTTTCCCATTCCTTTTCACTTATCACACCTATTTATCCCTCCATACATTCTTCTTATTTATCCTCTTTCAGATACCTCTTGAACATAATTTTTTATCCCTCACAACTCCACCCTCTCCCTCTAGTATTTTTTTAAATTTTCTTAGTCCTCAACTTGTTCCACAATCTTTGGAAATTTAAAATTTGCTCGTACTTCACACACAATTCATATTTTTTTTACCAATCAGGTTTCGAGTACAATGCAAATTTTGTTTGATCTCTTCCTTCCTTCCAAACACTGTTTATCTCCTCTAATCTTTTCTCGATATTTTAATTTGTCCTAATCTTTACTTACAAGAATGAGAAAATCATTTTGTTTTCCCTTACTTCTTTAATGTGTGAACATTTTTACAATTTAATGTCAAATTGTCCTCGTCTAAAAACCTAACTACTAATTACTTTTTCCTCTCTAAAATTAAATATAATAATTTATTTATTAATATTTTTTGAACACATTTATTTTTAAAGAGAGAAAGAAAAAAAGCGAAAATAAAACTCCCTTTTTATTATCAATTTTTTAAAAACAAACAATCACAAATCACAAAACATTTACGGTTATTAAAATACCTGCAAAAGTTAGAAGAGCACAAGCAACACACATTCCGCACCCAAAATTTATTTTTTATTTATCTTTACTCTTTCTCTCTATTTTTATTATAGGTATATGTACATATTTTGGTTTTTTGATTTTTGTTTGTTGCGGGCCAATAATTTATTTAAATTATTTTTGCAGAAAAAATTTTAATCGATTTTTGTCCGCAAAAATTTTGCGGACAAAAAAAATTTTTTTGTCTTCTCTTATCAGCGACGGAGGCGAAAAATTTGAGGATTTTAGAAGGTCTTAGCAGAAAAATAATGAAATATTATCCTAAAAACTACAAGAAAAAAATCCTTATAATTTTAAAAAATAACAAAAATTCACAAATCCGCATTTTTAAAAATAATCCTCACCGACCTATCAAGAAACCACAAAATGAGGAAAAATCCGCACATATCGAAACCCTGGTTTATAGTATTCAAAAATTTTACCAATTCAAACATTTTTTAAATTTAACCATTTTTAACTAAAATATTTAAGCCATTAATATTTTATTCCTTTTTTTTAATTAATTAAGCAAGTTTACATTTTATTGTTACTCTCTTCTTTTTTGGAAAGCCTTATTTTATTTTTTAAACCAAAACCAAAAAATCTGCTATTTATTCATCCTTAATTTTCTTCTCATTTGTAAATTCTTTATTTACATATTTAATTTTAAAAATTTTGGATTAAAATTAACAAAAATTTTAATCGTCCGCAAAGCCAAATTTTAAAAATTTTGAAAATAAATTTTGATTTTTGTGTTTATTTAGTTTAGAGACCCCCCTCCCCCATCTTTTTAATAAAAGAATTTTCGGTACTTTTCCGCTATTTGTACGACTGCAAATTTTTCGGCAGGATTCATTTAATCGTAATTTTGTTCAGAATCGTTGAGAATCATTTTTATTTCTATTGACATTCGATTCAGATTAACGTCTCTTTCGATTGAGCTGTCTTTACTTTTTAATATATACATATTTAATTTCTACCCCAAAATAAGATCTTTGTCCCTCTATGGTTTTCATATTTTGGGGGTTTTTGATATCTTCGTCAGCTGGCATTTCTGATTATAGAGATTGATACCAGGACTGGATGATTTTCAATTTTAAAAAACGGAAGCGGATCCATCCCTGATTGGTATCATTCGACTTCGATTAAACGGATCGAAAGACTTTAGAACCGGCTATGGCTATTAAGTACAGCAAAAGCCCATACATATTACCCCCCCTTCTTTTTACTCATTTTCTAGATTAGTGAAAAAAGAAATTGTTTGGAATAGAGCCAAAAATTATTTTTCCATTATTTTTTCTTCAATGTTTCATTTAAATTTTAAAATTCAATTTTTTATTAATTTTTCTTCTCTCTTAACAACACATTTTCTCACCAAAATTAAATTTAAAATTTTTTTTTCAAAAATTTTTTTATAAAATTTAAATTCTAAGCAAACATTTAATTTAATTTAATTTTAATTTTATAGCTAAGAACGTAACTTTGGTGTATGTATATATTCTCTCTGTTTTGCATATAAAAAAAGTTTTTTTAGTTATTAAATAATTTTTGCCAACATTTTTTTTCAAAATTATTTAATTGTTGGGGGAAAAAAGAGAAGAAAATTTACGTTAATTTTAATTTAATAATTAAATATATATCAGAAATTTAGTTATTATTTTATTAGTATTTTTCAGAAATTATTTCGAAAAATCTGGTACTTCCATTTAAAAATTATATAAAATTTTATACACAAAAATATCCTCCAAAGTATTTCCCTTTTCTTTTTATAAATTTAAGAATTTTTAAATTTCAGTTTTTGAAAAATCTCTGCTATCTGTTACATATTTTATTTGACCAACAAAATTTTTTGCCACATATTTTTACTTTTACATATTTGGCAATTTATACATTTTTGTAGAGGAATTAGTTTTTTTTAATCTTTTAAATTTTTTTCTTTGATTTTTAAAAATAAATTATTTTTTCTTTCCTTTTTTGCCTCATAAGGAATATGTAAACTTGAAATAAATTTAATTTTTAAATTATAATTATTTCTAAAAAAATATTATTTTTTAAAATAATTATAGTAATATATATTAAATTCTTATAATTACTAAAAATAAAAGTTTTTTGTATATACATATTTCATGTCCAAAAATTAAAATTAAAATGTCTATTCTACTTCCTGTTAACAACCATTATGTACAATAGACACACCTGTCTCTCTTTCTTTCTTTTTAATTAAATTGCAAAGTTAGACATTTTAATTTTTTTAAAAAAGGTTAAAATTAATTTAGTTTCTATTTTATGATTTTTAAAATTATTTTTTGTTTAATTCCGGTCTTTTTAAAATTTAGACAATTTTTTAATTACTACTACTATTTTTACAGATAATTTTGGTTGTTATTTAATTGTAAAATTTATGATTTGTTTTTACAAATACAAACAAATAAATAAACTTGTTTTGTTCAAACAAAACACAAATAAACTTGTTTTAGAAATAAAACTTGTTTTTGTTTGAGGAAAATAAACTTGTTTTTACAAAAACAAACATTTTTTACAACAAGTTTATTTTTACACCACAAACAAAAACTTGTTTTGTTTGTTTCTAAATAAACAAATAAAATTAAAGAACATTTCCAAAACATTGTCTTTACTCTTTTTTTTATAAAATTTTTTATTTTTCGTTTAATTATTAGTAAATATTTGTTTATTTTAATTTTAACATTTAAGCTATAAATATACACTTTAAAAGCGGCTTTTTTATTTTAAAATTATTTTATAGATTTGCGCATTTTTTTCTTTTTAAGGGCAAAATTAAATACATTAAGAAATTAAATTTTTAGATTATTTTCTTTATTTTGCCGACAATTTAATTATTGGCTGCCATTTTGCCCTTTTTGTGTTTTGATTGCTTTTTAAGAAATATTTTATATATATTAGGCGAGGAATACAATTAAACTTATCTGTTAGTAAATATAAACAAAAATATGAAAATGTTGTGTTATTTGTGTTGTTTTTGTTTTTGGATACAAAAACAAAATAAACTTGTTTTTATGTTAAGTTTTGTTTTGTGACATTTTCCCAAACATTGTTTTAATAGAGGCAATCAGAAATTAATCTGAACATTTGAACACGAAAAATCAGAATATTTAATTATTTCTCTTGTTTTAATAGAATTCTGATTAATGTTTGAATGAAATTCTGATTAGTTTGCGTGTTTTAATTAAATTCTGATTTATTTACAAACTTGTTTTTATAAATAAAAACACATAACATTTTAATATCCAAACCTCTAATTATAGTTTAATATCATTACTTTCATTATAAACATTAATTGTTTGCTTTAAACAATCTAATTATAACATTACTAAATATTTATATATAAATTGTGTTTTTATGATTATATATATTATAATCTATTTTTGAATATTTACTATTTAATTATTTTTAAAATTATTTTTATTAATTAAATTTTTTCTAAAAATTTATATAATTTTTCTTTGCCATTCCACAATATGGAATAATTTTTCTTATTCCTCCTTCGCCCATCAAATCTTTCTTATAAATTTTAAATTTTTATTAGAATTAAACTCCATTTATTAGTTTTAGATGCTGGCAATAGAAACCTATACATATACTTATATCAGTTAAAAATTGATCTTTCTGATCTTCAATTTAGGTCTTTAATTGGGAAACACGGGTTACCAAAACGAAAACAACTTTTATTAGGCTTTTGCTCCAAAATTCTTTGATTATTCCTTTACATATAACATTGTTCATTCGGCCCTATCCCGAAAGAAGGGTCGAATCGTTTTTTTCATTACTTTTTATTAGTTTATAAAAATGGTCAATTTTCCTTAGAATTGATGTATGTTGATGTTTGCCTTAAGGAAAAATGGAGAAGGACAGACAATGACAGAAGAACACAGACAGACAAAACAAGGATGGACCAAACACAAACGGACACATGTCCGACCGTTCGTGTCCGTCCTTGTTTTGTCTGTCCGAGTTCGTCCGTGTTTTGTCTGTCCGGGTCCGTCCGTGTTTTGTCTGTCCGGGTCCGTCCGTGTTTTGTCTGTCTGGGTCCGTCCGTGTTCGTCTGTGTTTTGTCCGTCTTGATCCGTCCGTGTTTTGTGTCTCTGAGTCCGCCCAGCAAACAAAAACAAGGAAAAATATAAAAAGTTAACCTCTGTCACCATTTTGCCTTAAGGCAAACATCAACATACATCAATTCTAAGGAAAAATGACCATTTTTATAAACTAATAAAAAGTAATGAAAAAAACGATTCGACCCTTCTTTCGGGATAGGGTCGTTCATTCCTTTTACTTAAAATATAAACTTAAAAAACTTATCTTAATATTAATAACAATATTAAAGACGGAATTGGTTTCTCTCTCTCGGTCTCGGTTTTTTCTCTCAACATCTCTTTCTTTTCTTCCCTTTACCTTCACTTACCTTCATCCCTATTCTTCATTCACCCTTATTCCCCACTCCCTCCTCTTTAAAAAATCGAAATCCACTTTCCTTATCATTCCTCTCCCCTCTCCCCTCGACCCTCTCCATTTCCTTTCATTCCCCATCTCAATCCCAATCATTGCCTCATCGCCCCCATCCCTATCATATATCCCTCCTCTCCCATTTTAATTCCCTCGCCATCCCAATCCCAATCATTACCCCCTCCATCCCATTGCCTTTCATTATCCTTCTTCTCCCCCCTCCATCCCCCCCATCCCCTCCATCCGCTCATCCCCCCCCCCATCATGCACTCGCTCATATTCTTTAAAGCATTTTCACGTGCCCTGATAAAATCGAGTAAGAAAGCGACAAACTACACTCTTTGTGCCGTCTTTAAAGATTTCTCTAATCACTCTCCTCTCTATTAAAATTTTTTGTCTATACATGCCTATACATATATTAATTTTATGGATGAGAGCAATCAAAAATCGGCAACACTTTACCTTTTCTCTTAATTTAAAAAAATATTTTTTTTAAAAAAAGTTACCCTTTTAAATTTCATTTTGTATTTTTTACATTACAAAATACTTATTGAGTAATAATAAACAAATTTTTTGTTTTAAAATTAAGTAATTTTTTAAGGAAATCTTTTCTAAACTAACTATTATACAATTGCGTTAACTGATCCAAACAGGCTGTTTTTCGGCATTTTTTCAGTTTATATATTGGTTAATCAAGTTTTTGGTTATTATTAATTAATTAACATAGAAGAGAGCCTGCCGTCCCTATTCCTGAAATCGTCATTTATTTTTTGTGTCGGTTTGTTCCTTGATATGTATACATACTAATAAAATTAAAAATTGCTTGGAAATTCTAATGAATTATAATATCGAAGGAAAAAATTAAATACTCAAAATGTAGTGTTTAAAGTCAAGGCCTATATAATTTTAAAAAATTTTCTTAACTTATAACCAATTAATCTCAGTCTTTCGATATTTTAAATCTGAGGAAAATTCTGTGTTTTTATTCAATTCAATCCGAGATCAACCTTTAGTTATTATTTCTAGATTATGTCATCTCGCTATTTATACATATACCTCCGATCTATTATGGGATAATCACCTCTCTCATAATTTTATACTTTATCTTTTTGTTCTTAGTTTGGTTTAGAAAAGTACAAAATACTTCTCATTTTTAAACACTAACTTTTAAGCCTCAAAGGGTTAGTTAAATAAAAGTTCAGAGCGTCCGAACCAGCCCCAGAAAATAGAAAAAGATGGGACTTGATTTTGATATTTCTCCTATCAAAGTTTATTGTACTTCCCCTCTTCATTTTTACTTTATTTTTACTAAACTTGAAAAAGAAACTTTGCCGGCCTTCTAGATTTCCTTTAGAAAATTTTAATAACTTTTAATTGTTTAATTTTAAATTTTCTCTCTCTTACCCTTTCAATGAAAAAATTTTTTTCTCTCTCACCCTTTTAAAAAATCTTTTTTTTAAATTTTCTTATAAGGTCTCTCCTCACCCCCTATCTCTATCAATTTTTTTATAAATCAAATCAAATGACCTCCTCTCCTTTCCCTGTGAAAATATCCTCATCTCCCTCCTCTCGCCTTCCCCTTCCCTTCAATTATTCTCTCTCTTTTGCCAAAGAAAATTTTTTTTTAAATTTTTTCTTAAAAATCCCTTCACTCTCCTCTTAACCTCCATTATTTTCTCTATAAAATATATTAATTTTTAAAAATCCCTTTAAAATTAATGAAGTAAGTCAATATACGCACATTCACTCTCTAAATCAGTCTAATTAATTTAAATTTTTTCTAACTCCCTATTCAAATTAAAATTTTTTAAAGAGGCGCAACAACATCTTCTCCCTTCCCTCCTCTCATCCTTTTAAATTAATATTATATTTTTATTTTTTATTTTCACTCTCATTTTAAAAAATAAATTTTTTTACTTGTTTATTTAATGTTATTTTTAATTAATTTCATAATATTTTGCAAAAAAATATTTTTAAATTTATTTTTCATTAAAAGGGCAAAAATTTTATATCAAAGCTAAAAGTACATTTTAATTTTAAAATTTTTTAACGGAAATAAAAGAGACGAAAATATTTTTTTAAATCAAAGAAATATCATTTGTGTTAAAGTTTATTTTATTTTCTTACATAATTTTTATAAATTTTTTTAATTTATAGAGAGTAAAATACTCAAGTCATTCTCACATTAGGCAATAAGTGAGAACAACAACAAAAAGGATTTCTTTACTTGTTGAGAAATATAATTACAACATTGTGATTTAAACAAGAAGTTTGTTTACTAAACAGTAAAACAAATAAAAACAAAGTAAAAGAAGTAAACTTGAATCTGAACATCGAAAATACAGAATTAAAACAAACTTGAATTAAAACATTAAAAACAAACGAACATTAAAACATTAAAAAATAATAGAAGGAAAAACCAGAACAAAAACAAAACAAACAAAACACACCGGGGAAAACATTGGAAAACAAAGGAGAAAACAATAAAAACATCAAAACATCAGAATATTTAAAAAAACATCGGAGAACACAAAACACATTTATTCAATATTTGAATACAAAATAAGTTTTTATGAACTCAAAAATTAATAAAACAACGATATTCTTTTAATTCAATTAAAAACATGATGGAAAACCAAACTTCCTCCTCTGCTTTATTCTCAACATCCTCCACTTCTAATCTCGAGAATGGAAATTGTGCTGCGGAAAGTCGAGTTCCTGCTTCTTCTGTTTTATCATTTTCTTCTACTACCTCTTCTGCTGATATTTGTGTAGACGATGACAACAACGCTGATGGAACTCGGGATACGTCAAGTTCTTTGAAAAGGCCACTTGATGAACAAGAATTGTGTTCTGTAAGTTTTAATATTGTTTTAAAATTAAAACTTTAAAACATCTAAAACATTCTAAGAAACATTCTAAAACATTCTAAGAAACATTTTAGCATTCTTCAAAACATTTAAAAACATCAAAAACATTTACTTTTGATGTGAAAAACATTTCTTTGTTTAAAACATCTAAAACATTAAAATTAACTTGAAATAAAACAAAAACATGTTTTTAGTTTATATAAAACATTTTTGAATTAAACATTAATTAAAACATTTTAAAACAAATTTTGAAACAAATTTTTGGAACAAAAACAAAACAAACATACAATCAAATTTTTGAAACAAACAAATATGTATTTATAGGTGTGTAATGATACAGCAACCGGATATCATTATGGAACTCCTTCCTGCAATGGCTGGTAATCTTTTATAATTATTTTTTCTCTTTTTTTCTTCTAAATAATTAAATTAAATACTTTTTATTGAAAATAAATATTTTTTTTCAATTAATAAAATTATTATTTTTTTAAAAATACCCTTCATAACCCTAATCTTTTTTGTTTACTAAAATGACATAATAATTATTTTTAGCTAAGTTTAAAAATAATTATTTTAATAAGTTAAAATTGTTGCTTTTATGGTTGCTAGGGTTTAAAAAAAGGAAAAAAGAATTTTTATAAAATTAATTTAAAATGTGAGGGAATTTTTTTAATAAAATAAAAAGTATTTGAAAAAAAATATTTTTTGTTAAATATTATAGGTAAATTATTTTTTGAAATATTATTAAAAATTAAATAGTAATTAAAATTAAGATTTTTAATACCTACGTAATATAAAAAAAATAATGTTATTTGGTTATTTTTTTCAAAATTTTTAAAATTATATTTTAATAAAATTGTGAATGAAATAAATTAAAAATAAACTAAAAAAAGACAAAATTTAAGACATTAAATTAGAAAATATTTTTTAAATTTAATTAAAAATCAAAAATTTGTAACTTTTTTGTGATTCTTATCAGTTCTTTAAAATCACAAAAAATTTCAAAATGTTTGTAAAAAACATTAAAATATTTTATTTGGAATGTTTTACAAATTAAAAATATTTTTAAAAATTAATTGATAAAGAATTGGGGAAAAAAGATTTTTTATTCCATAAAATTTTTGTTCCCAAAAATTAAAATAAATAAATAAATATTATTTTTTATTAATAACAAGAATTTTTTTATTTTTTTTCTTTGTTTTCTAAAAATTTATAAAATAATTTCTAAAAATATCTATGCTTGTAGCAAAGTAATTTTTATTAAAACATTCCGGAAAGTTTTGTAGTTTTTATATTAGAATACATAATTTCCGGAAAAACATAATTAATTAATTTACAATTTGCCATCAAATCTTTCCGGAAAGAAAAGAATATTTTATTTTTCCTGAAATGTTTCCAGGAAAATAAATTCTGATATTTTCCGTAAACTTTTAAGGAAAGTGAAGAGAATAAAGAAAACTTTCCGGATAAACAATTATTCCGGAATAAATTCTAAAAATTATTTTTCTTTCAGTAAAACCTTCTTCCGCCGTACAGTAATGAAAAAGCAGGTATTTCAATGCCAATTTGATGGAAATTGTCCTGTGGATAAAAATGTCCGTTGCGCTTGTCGACATTGCCGATTTAAAAAATGTTTAGAGGCGGGAATGAGCAAAGAATGTAAATAAATTATTTTTTATTTTTTTTATTTTTTATTTTTCAGCTATACAAAATAATCGGGATCCAAGTCAGTTTTCAAATAAAAATTTTAAAATTAATCTAAAAATAAAATATTTAAAATAATTTCCATATAAAACAAAGTTTGCTTAATTTTCTGGAAAACATGTCTCTGTAATTTTTAAATAGTTTATTCCTCAGAAACTTTTTTCTTCCTTCACTAACATATTTCTTTGAGAGAAAAACACAAATTCTGTTAGGTGTGACAATAAATAAATCAAAATTTATTAAAATAATTTTCTTAATTTTTTAGTTGGATACACTAAAAGGACACGAAGGTAATTTTAAAAATTGCCAAAAAATAATTTAAAAATTTTCTTTATAGAATACTCAACCAATTTCCCCCATTTTCTGAAGAAGCTTCCTCCTCCACAGGGATAACTGCAGACACTCCAACAAATTCTTTAGTTCCTAGTAATGGTATGCCTTCATTTACTTCGCCTTCATTTACTTCGTCTCAAACTTCCTTCAACCCTTTTTTGAATCCAATACCTAACGTATCAAGCAATAATAACACTCAAGGTAATATGTGTTATTTTTAGGAATAGGAAACCTTCCGGAAAATATATACTAAACTTATAATATTACAAGTTTCCGGAAACTACATATATGTATACATATAATCTTTAAAAATTCGGAAAACGCATAGTCCTATTCCTGTAAAAATACAAACAATTACAACACAATTAAACATTTACATATTAATTTTCCGGAAAGACATGTTCTATTGTGTTAGTAAATGAATAAACTTTCCGGAAACTACATAACTTAAATAGAAAGAACTGGAAAAACACTCATTTGAATAGACACATTTCCGTAAAAATACATGCAATTATTCTAAACATTTGTATATTTTCCGAAAAAACATATAGTTTCTCTCTTTTAATTGTATTTTCCGGAGGTATCACGACTTTTGCGCCGAGAACATTTGCGCCGCGACTTTTGCGCCGCGACTTATGCGCCGGGCGACTTTTGCGCCGCGACTTATGCGCCGCGACTTATGCGCCGAGCGACTTATGCGCCGCGACTTTTGCGCCGGGCGACTTATGCGCCGCGACATTTGCGCCGCCATAAATTAAAAAAAATAATATCTACAGTCGGTCCTAATTATATTGTACTTCTTAAAAAATGGTATCCAGTAGCTGAAGGACTTTCACGAAGTACAATATTTCGGGAAGTACAATAGCCCCCTCTAATTAAGCGACCCCCTAGAGGAAGGTTGAAAAATAAACCGACCCCCTAGAGGGGTCTTCAATGGACTTGACTTTTTCAAATCAGGATATTTGGTCTGCTACCGCTATTCAGGCATGATTTCGCAAAAAAAAAAGTCAAAAGTCGCGGCGCATAAGTCGCGGCGCAAATGTTCTCGGCGCAAAAGTCACGGAACCTTTCCGGAGACTTACATAAAATACACAAATACATTTTCCGGAAGTGAAACACAAAGTTATGTATTAATTAAATCTTTTTTTAGTAAATAGACCGCAAACTAGTAGTAGTACAATTTCCCAACAACAAACAAATGATGTTGAGCATGTGCAAGAAGATTTATTGTTACAGAGATTATTTGGAATTGAATATATTTTACTCACAATTAGGCAATATTTTTCTCTTTTAAATTTAAAATATTTTTTTTATTTTTATAGAAATAGTAAATTAAATGTCCAAAAGTCCCTTAACGACCTTCTTTTAAATTCCTCAATATTTGAGGACCAAATTGCAATTAAAAAATTGGCTGCAGAAGTTCTTCAAATGCCTAGTGCATTAAAGAGAGCAGACCAGAAAGATCATTTATTCTGGCATGAACGTGATTGGTTTATTATGATTGAATGGGCTAAAATGCTTCCAATTTATCAAAATTTGGATTTAAAAGATAAAGTAGTCAAAAATCAGAATTTAATTTTTAAAAATTATTTTTTCAGTTGTCTCTGCTCAGGCATTCAGCTATCACTTTTCCTTCATTAGTTCAATGTTTTTACACCCCGGATGTCGGTCCAGATACCATAGTTTTTCCGGATGGTACATTTTTTGATAGAACAATGAATTCTGACAAGTAAATAAATATTTCCCCCTAATTTTAATTTCAAATTTTTTAGGTCATTAGGTTTTCAACGTAAAAATTTCAAAATGTTAGATAATTTATTAGAACCAATTAGAAGAATTAAAATTGATCAGAATGAATTTGCTGGAGCTAGAGCTGTTTTCTTCCTCAATCCTGGTAATTTTGAATATGGTAATTTATTGTCATATATTCATTATTTCCCTGTTTTAAACAGATTCTGATGCTGATGATTTGTCTATGTCAGCAAAATCACAAATAGCAGTCGCTCGTTCAGCGATAACAAATGCTTTATATCGTTATATGGTACAAAAAAGGGGTGCTGCGGAAGCTGCTGACAAATTTGGAAAATTGGTAAGGAAAATTTAAAAATTTCTCTTTAAAATTACAAAAAACTTATTTTTTTATTTTTTAAAGATGGTATGTTGTTTACTTTGTTTGTGGTAATTGAGGGGCGTGACAATTGAGGATACTACGTTTGTGATGAGATTGGCAAAAGAGGATGCGACAATTGAGAAAACAAAAGGAATGGGGTACAAAAGTTTATCTAAACCGACCAAAAAAATTTTTTAAACGTTATATCTCAAGAAAAATGCATCTGCATGACATGAATTATTTTTTTAATATTAACTGAAAAGGTGCCCTTTCTATTAAACTATTGTTTTAAAATTAACCTTAAGATATGCCTCTGTTCCCTAGCTTGATTCATTTTTTTGCTGTGCAAATGTTTACCTACACAATAAAAATTAGATTTTTTATAGATAAATGTCAAAAAACAAAAAAAAATTCTGGGACATTTCTACTGATACCGCAAGAAATGAATCAATTTGGGAAAAAGGGCATATTTTAAGAAGAAGTACTGGTAGCTAATGTTAAAACAAGTTTAATAGAAAGAGTTTTCAATTAATCATTTTTGTTGTGTAAATGAAATTTTCTCGAGATATAATGTTTTAAGAAAATTTTTGGTCGGTGTAGATGAAATTTTGCACCCCAGTGTATAAATATTAAATAAAAAAATATTCAGAAAACCCTTCAAAAACTTCATCCTCTTTTGTCGTCCTCAATTGTCGCTTCCTTAATTGTCACAACATTGGATTCTACATATATATTATTATATTCCGGAAACTTCAACATTAGTTGTATTCCGGAAAATATGAAAATACAAAACGAAACTACATCTAATTCCGGAAAACAAATACATACATAACTTAACTATTCCGGAATATCCCTATATTATTTTCTGGAATATGTATTATTCCGGAGATTATATTAATATTATAATTTAAATTTTTCCTTGAATTTAGATGTTGCTTGGAACTGCTATAGCTACAATGTCATGCGAAATGCGAGAAGCAGTTAGTAAGTGTTAATTTTAATTTTTTCTTTAAAAATTCTCTCTTCTTTTTTCAGTCGTAGCCGACTTTTTCGAGCAAATTCAATTTTCCGATTTTGCTAGACAAGTTTTATTTTCCAACAATTGTGATCATGTTATTAATAATCCTTTGATTATACAACATCAACAAAAACAACAACAAAGTGCAATTACAAACATTCCAAATTATAACCTCAATCAAAATTCACTAGCTTCTTTAACAAATAATCATCAACAAAAACAACAACCACCACCAAATTCTTCTACAATTCCTCCCCAAGCTCAATCGCTACTTGTTGCTGCAACTCCACAAACATCATTAAATGGTATGTTGTTGGGTGGAAATACTCCTGCTACTGCTGTTAATAATAATAATACCCCAATGAATGTTTTGAACGGACTAAGTAATTATTTTGCTAATGGAATACAACAACAACAACATCAACAAAGTTTACAACAACAAACACAACAACCACAACCACAAACATCTCTTCCATTACAACAACAACCACAAACAGTCTTTCCTTTACCACAATTACAACAACAAATAATAGAACAAACACAAAAACAAAGTTTCCAACAACATCAAAGACAACAACAACAAATGACTAATAATAATTTTGTTCCACAACAACAACTTTATTTTTCGCAACAACAACAAAACACTCCAATACAATTTATTAACAACAATTCTTTCCCAACATCATTAAATCCAACAACACTTCAGCAACAACAACATTTTAGACAAATACAATTACAACAACAATTACATCAACAACAACAACATTTTAACCAACCAACAATCGTCCCATACCCAACTCAACAACATCCACAGCCTTCACCCCATCAACAACAACAACCAAACACACCCCAACTTTCCCAACCAACTTCTTTGCGTCAACCAACCCCTCATAGTCAAACTAATCCAGTCCGAACCCCTCAAAACAGTGTTGTATCCCCTGCAAGACCAATCTCTCGTCATCCAACACCTCAACAACTTGCTGGAACAAATTGGCAACAGGCACAACTTGTACAAAATCAAAACAATAGTGTGCCTCCTCAAACACAATTTGATCAGGCGTATATTTATCAGACTAAATTGCTCGATGCTTCTCCACTACAAAAGGTATTTCAAGCAAACAAATAAACTAAAACTCGATCTTTGAATAATATTTAAAAAATTTTATTTTCCGGATAGTAAATAGAAATGTTTGTTATATAAACATGTATTCTTTAGTTTTCCGGAAAATAATAAAGATTAGTATTAGGGTTGCCAAAATGGACCGACTCGGACCGAAAGATCGAGTCATGCCTCGATGTTTGGCCCGAAAAAGTCTCGTACCGGCCCGACTCGATAAATTTGGGCCCGAAAAAGACTCGTAACGGCCCGACTCGATAAAGTTAGGCCCGAAAATGACTCGTACCGGCCCGACTCGATAAAAACATGCCCGAAAAAAATTGTCTCGGAAAAAGACGGCCCGACTCGAACGAGACTCGATAATATTTTTGCCAGATTTGTGGACAAAAATGGATGAAATCTGGCTCCTTGGCCTTCCAAAATTCGAAAAATTTTCGCCTGCGGCGCTGAAAAAGGAAGAAGTTTGGTCCTTAGCCTTCCGAATATCTCAAAATTTTCTAGCAGCCCCACTGGACACGCCCTTGGATTAAGTGTACGAGGAATTTATTAAGTGTACGAGAATCAAAGATACGAGGAATTTTAGCATACAGCGGGATTTTATTAAGGGATTTGGTGATTAACGCACGATATCCCCGATATACCTTCAAATCTCCTCATTCCTTCTAAATCCCATTACAATATATCACCTTAATCATCTGATATACGATCCTGAACCCCTTAATCATCTGATCTCCTTTAATAAAACCAAATCTAGCAATATCTCACCCCAATCCTCCGATAATTTAAATCACCTTAATCCCTCAAATCCACTGATATCCATTTCAATTCTCTTCAGCCCTTCCTTTACCCTCCTGATCCATCGATATACCTTTTAATTCACAGATATCCCTCCAAATCCACTAATTATTTTTAAATAAATCTTTTAAAAAAAGACTCGAAAATGTCTCGGTGCCCGACTCGATAAAGTCAGGCCCGAAAGTGACTCGTACCGGCCCGACTCGATAAATTTAGGCCCGAAAAAGATTCGTACCGGCCCGACTCGATAAAAACAAGCCCAAAAAAAATGCCTCGACCGTCGGCCCGACTCGAAAACGGCAACCCTAATTAGTATGTATTATATTTTCCGGAAAAGTTATAAATATATTTTACATAGTATTCCACAGTTTTCCGGAAACTTCTATTTTCTATTTTCGGAAAAGTCTTATGCATTTATATATTCCGGAAAAATACATGTATTTTTACCATATTCTTGAAATTAATAGTATTTTCCGACAAAGTGTTTCTATGTACACAAAACATTCCTTTTATGTATTACCAATTTATATTATCATTTTAATTAAAGGATCAGCAACCATTTACGCCCACATTTTTCTCTGGACCAAATTCAGATAATTCCACAGGACAGTCACACCCAGCAAGTGCTCAGTCAGAAGATTCGTCTCCTCCCAGCATCGTTAATATTCAATGAATTTTTTTAGTAATTTTTATTTTGCATTTTTAATTAATGCTTTTAAATATTTAAAAGAGAGAGAGATAGGGAGTACAGAATCCGGATAAATTCGAAAAAAAATAAAAATTTTTTTAAATGACAAAAAAATATTCCAAAACATCATTTAACCCTCTCCCTCCATTCATCTCTCTCTCATTTTTAAACTAAATTTTCTTCTTCAATCTTGTTCAATTTATTTATTCCAACTTTTTTCCTTGCTTTTTCTATTTTTTATTATTACAATTTTATTAGTACCTTATATGTATGTCCTTTTTTTCTTTTTATATTTTCCTTCAAAAAATTTTTTTATAAGAAATGTACCTCAAAAATAATATATATTTTATGCTATATTTTAATATTTATTTATTTAATTTCTTCCACTAATTTATTTTTTCCTTCTAGAATCCTCTTTTAATTAGTCAATTCCACATACCTTCATAAAAATTCCTCAAGCCTTTATTAAGGCATAAAATTCTTTATTTTTTCCTTTGGCATTCTGTGATTTTTTTTATTATTTATTTTATTTTGTGATTATTTTCTTCAAAAAAATCTGTTCTTTAATGAAGTTTGTGCAGTTTTTTAAATTAAAAAAAATAGAATAAATATTTTTTAAATTAAATATAAGATTAAAATTAGTTTAAATATTTTAATAAATTTAAAATTTGTTTTTAAAATGTACCTTTTTGTCGCATTTTGGGGTAGTACCATTTTGTCGGAACATAAAGCAGAGAGAAAAAGTGTACATATAAGTAAATTAATAGGAGAGAGAACTTTGCATGTTTATTTTTGTTGTTAGTTTAAAATTTTTTAAAATTCTCTTATTTGTTTGTATATTGTGTCTGTCACATAAGAGAGAAAATAAGTACACCATAAAATACACAAAAATAAGAAGAAATAAATATATTTTGGTTAAACGTTAATTTTTCTTTTATTTGGTCAAACGAACATTTTACATTTTTTCAAAATTTTTTTCTTTTTCTCTTTTTCCTTTTATCTCTTTTATTTTCTGGCGTCTACCCAAAAAGAATTTCCGCGTCATTCTCGTGATTTTCAACACATGAAAAGCATCAAGTAATAAAAACTTTTTTTAACGATATTTTTGGAATTTAAAGAAAAAGAGAGAATGAATTATAAAATAAATTTATATTAAAACTGCGAGAGAATGCCTTTTTTATTAAAAAATTTTTAGTTTGGTTTACACAAATGTTCTGAGGGAGGGGGATAGTTCTATTTTTAAAATTAAAATTTAAAAAAAATTTTTAGCAAAAAAAAATTAAAAATGGGGTTATTAAATAAAGAAAATAATTATTTTTTGTATTTATTAAACAATTAATTTTTAAAAATAATTAAAAAACAGAATTCTAGTAAAGGTCTTAAAAAACGACTACTTTTAGGTCAAATTACCTAAATAAATTTTTACGAGACTTTTTCAACTGTAAATTAATTGTGAAGTTCCAATTAATCTTTAAAAAAAAATTTTTTCTGATTTTAATTTTGGGACAAAATGTCATCTACTCCCAAATCAACCACTGACCGATTAAAAAAATTTATTTAAATTTATTTT